TCTAATAATTACAGCATCTAAACACCACAGGGGTGGGGTGGTGGTGGAAATAGATTGTGACAAGGAGCTTGGAGAGTGTTTGGGGAAAGTGCTTAGAAGCTGATAAGGGGAGGGGCTGGAAGAAAAAGAAAATGGGAGTTGGGATAGGCAAGGAGATTGGGTGCCAAGGAGACTGGAGCCAAGAAGCTTGGGAGCCAGGGAGGAGGAAACTGAGATCACATCAGGAATAGAGGGTAGATGGGGACCAGCTGGGCAAGTAGACTGTGACTGGGAATGAGCTGGGGGAGTTGGGCTGTGGGTGGAGGGAAACAGATGTGTTGAGGAGCCAGGATGTGGGGGAAGAACTGGAAGTGGCTGGGTAAGGAGACAGATTTGGGATTAGAAGCCTGAAGAGCAGAGACTGGGACTGGTAGGGTAAGACGATGGGACTGGGATAAGGATCCTAGGGTAGGGAAGAGACAGGACTGAAACATGGACAGGTTAGAGACAGGACAGAAGGAGTCAAGCTTAGGGGGAATGGGTTGATGGGTCTGTGACCACTAGTACACACTGCCCTCCAGAACAAGTCACCATTCCTCACCATCTCGCAATTCCTGCATCTGATCTTTCCTTTGCTGTCAGCAAAAATCCACTGGCAGAGTTTGTGTCCCATCTCCCTTTCGTGCTAGCGCATATAGAGACTGAAAACCTACAACTGCTATCAGTTGCTCTGTTAGTTCAAGAGGCAGAGGTCTGTGCGGCGAATCTACAGGTTTCAACCCTGATAATGACCAAGCAGTATAATGGGTCAGTATATATGGGGGTCAGTATAATGCCACACGATGGAATTTCTGTTTTAGAAATGAGACACATGCAAAAAAACAAACAAACAAACAACCCCTGAGTTCAAAGAATATTAAGGTTGCAAAGCCAGACACTCAAAAGTTAGGAAATGCCAGAATTAAAATTGCCTGTGCAAACTTAATGTGTAATGTGTATGCATTATGATACAGTCTTTAATTACATGGCCACATGCTGCTTTTTTTCAACAGGACCTCAGTTCCCAAGCTTCAAAATGGGATAATAATACCATCTATTCTTGCTTGACTTCACAATCTTAGCATTCTTTTAATGTGTGTTTTTGGATATAATAGTATGGAGAATTCCACACCCCAGCCTAAAATATTCTGTGTGGTTAGACAAGAAAACTTTAGGGCTCAGTTCTGACACCCTTACTCATGTTGAGTAGTGTCTGACTCTGTAAGTTGTCTCCTTGTAATCAACTGGGCTATTTACATAGTAAAGTACTCAATGTAAATAAAGGTGGCAGAATCAGACCATAGTTAAGATTATTTAACGAAATACGCATTATAATATTGTTAGAATACTAAATTAATCTAAAAAGTACATTAACGACAAAGTTCCACACTTCTTATTACTGATAACTAACTATCTAATGTACTAGAGAATTTATATATACATTCGCTATGAACATAACTGTACTTTAAAATAATAGGGAAACAAAACAAAAATGTTAATCTGCCATAGTGTATTTTATTATTTATACTGTGGCTTAGTACACAGCATGTCTAGAACAGTCACTACAGAACTTCTTCATTTCATAATGTTATGTACAAAGTAACACCTGCAGACATGGAAAATTCTGACTAGCTTACAATGTTTGGAGGGTGAGGTCCTGATAATGCAAAAAGATGTACTCACCTGCTCATCATTAGACACTTTGATTAGTATTGGGAGTTTTCAGACATTGAAAACTCCATAAGAATAAGAGTGCAGAACTAATAATGTTGGTGAAAAAATAATTAGGAACTCCAAAAAGGTTAAGTAGGCTTATGCATAGATTTTCGCTGAGGATGAATGTGCAAACTAATTATGAAACCTTTAGGATGAGCCATATTTTGAGTTAGAATAATTTTTGAAAGGAGGAAAGCCACTAATTATTCCAAAGTGAAGCTGGCTTGTCTGATTAATTTCAAATGGCACATAAAATGCTTCCAAAGCATAAGACTAAGAATCCAAGAACTAAAAGCTTTTAAACAAACCAACAAATCTCCATGGAGAGAGAAGATGAAATTGGAGGGGGAGAGAATTAAATACACACACAGACACACACAACCCACATCAAGAGGTGAGGTTGCCAGTGTAGGCGTTTCCACTGCTGTTGTGTCTGTGCCACTTTATCTCTGTAATTGCAGATCCTGTGCCCCTGCCTTTAACCACCTGCTGTTGTACAGAGGATCAGCATGGAGATCCACTGTGTGGTATTCAGAGAAACACAGAAACACCCAGTATTTGTAAAGCTACACTGTCCATGTGTGCTCTACTCTCTGTCCATCTGGAATTTACTGCAGAATTTAAGTGATGCAGGACCTTAAACCAGCCCTCCACAGCCATGGTGAACATCATCTTTTAAGCCAGTCTTGCAATTTAGCAAACCCACACTACAAATCGACTGAATAGGGCATAAATGTCTCCCTAGTGTCTAAATAGTGGTGTTTGTCACTTAAAGATGGAACTTAGCTATTTAATTGGGGGGCAGGGGAGAAAAGAGGAGCTAAACCAATATCCTTATAATATAAGGATGGGCGGAAATGGGAGCAGATTCAGATATTTAAACTAAGTTATTTGAGCTCAATTTGATTGATAATCAGTCAGCCATGCTAGGGTCAAAGGATGAAAAATTTGCACTTCTAACTCTCGTAGTAGAATGTAATGATCAAATGTATCAATAACTTTGCATAAATCAGTAAAGATTGCTCCCAATAAGCCTCTTCAGATAAAAAGAAATACCCACCAACATGTGCACAAGATTTTACTGAGCAACAGCGTGATCTTATTGGTGCGGCCCTTCTCTTTCCTCTGTCGTCATACCCCTGCTATCTTGTCACGCCCCTTTGTCAAGTCATATTTAAAATTAGATTGTAAGCTCCTTGCATATTTTTTCTGCACTGTAAGATCCCTAGCATACTTTTGGGTGTGTTGTAAAGTTAACAGTAACAAGATGATAGAAGATGCTATAACAAAACACCAGAAAATTTACAATCTTCACTGGAACAGCAATGGACTTGGTGACTTATCAGGTCTTCATAGAATCATAAACTTTAAGGTCAGAAGGGACCGTTAAGATCATCTAGTCTGATCTCCTGCACAACTCAGGCCACAGAATCTCACCCACCCACTCCTGTCACAAACCGCTAACTTATGTCTGAGCTATTGAAGTCCTCAAATCATGGTTTAAAGACTTCAAGGTGCAGAGAATCCTCCAGCAAGTGACCCGTGCCCCACGCTGCAGAGGAAGGCGAAAAACCACCAAGGCCTCTGCCAATCTGCCCTGGAAGAAAATTCCTTCCTGACCCCAAATATGGCAATCAGCTAAACCCTGAGCATGTGGGCAAGACTCACCAGCCAGACACTCAGGAAAGAATTCTCTGTAGTAACTCAGATTCCACCCCACCTAACATCCCATCACAGGCCATTGGTTATATCTACGCTAATAGTCGAAGATCAATTAATTGCCAAAATTAGGCTATCCCATCATATCATCTCCTCCATAAACTTATCAGGCTTAGTCTTGAAGCCAGGTATGTCTTTTGCCCCCACTGCTTCCCTTGGAAGGCTGTTCCAGAACTTCACTTCTCTGGTAGTTAGAAACCTTCGCCTAATTTCAAGTCTAAACTTCCTGACAGCCAGTTTATATCCATTTGCTCTTGTGTCCACGTTGGTACTGAGCTTAAATAATTCTTCTTCCTCCATGGTATTTATCCCTCTGATATATTTATAGATAGCAATCATATCTCCCCTCAACCTTCTCTTGGTTAGGCTAAACAAGCCAAGCTCTTTGAGTCTCATAGAATATCAGGGTTGGAAGAGACCTCAGGAGGTCATCTAGTCCAACCCCCTGCTCAAAGCAGGACCAATCCCCAACTAAATCATCCCAGCCAGGGCTTTGTCAAGCCTGACCTTAAAAACTTCAAAGGAAGGAGATTCCACCACCTCCCTAGGTAACACATTCCAGTGCTTCACCACCCTCCTAGTGAAAAAGTTTTTCCTAATATCCAACCTAAACCTCCCCCACTGCAACTTGAGACCATTACTCCTCGTTCTGTCATGTGCTACCACTGAGAACAGTCTAGATCCATCCTCTTTGGAACCCCCTTTCAGGTAGTTGAAAGCAGCTATCAAATCCCCCCTCATTCTTCTCTTCCGCAGACTAAACAATCCCAGTTCCCTTAGCCTCTCCTCATAAGTCATGTGTTCCAGACCCCTAATCATTTTTGTTGCCCTCCGCTGGACATTTTCCACATTTTTCCACATCCTTTTTGTAGTGTGGGGCCCAAAACTGGACACAGTACTCCAGATGAGGCGTCACCAATGTCGAATAGAGGGGAATGATCATGTCCCTCGATCTGCTGGCAATGCCCCTACTTATACAGTCCAAAATGCCATTGGCCTTCTTGGCAACAAGGGCACACTGTTGACTCATATCCAGCTTCTCGTCCACTGTAACCCCTAGGTCCTTTTCTGCAGAACTGCTGCCTAGCCATTCAATCTCTAGTCTGTAGCGGTGCATGGGAGTCTTCCGTCCTAAGTGCAGGACTCTGCACTTGTCCTTGTTGAACCTCATCAGATTCTATTATTCATTCAAATTCAGCATTTTTTGAAGTATAGCATGTGTTTAGGATGCTGTCTGCAGTAGGTAATTAGGTTTTTAACTTGTTTGACTATGATAGATATAAAATACAGTTTATTATGGATAGTGAGACATTTTTAAAATGCGACCTGAGTATAATCAGTGATCTTCACAGTGCCTGAAATTGTATTCTGGTGGGATCCTAAAAGCAGGCATGTTTTTGTGACGACAAATGATTCACTCTAGTATAGTCTAGTTATTGCCATTTTTCTAAATTCTGGAGCCAGTATGACAAAAATGATGATTAAAACGTTATACTGACCATGTAAACAAATGTTTTGGACTGAATTCTTCTATATCTTTCCTGCAGGAAAATGGTGGTTTCTTGACAATGGGCTACTGAACATTACCAGCGTGTCTTTTGACGACAGAGGTAAATACACATGTGTTGCTTCTAACATCTATGGCACTGTGAATAATACTGTGACTCTGAGAGTCGTCTTTACCTCCGGAGATATGGGGATCTATTACATGATTGTCTGCCTCGTAGCTTTTACCATTGTTATGATCTTGAACATTACCAGGCTGTGTATGATGAGCAGCCATCTGAAGAAAACTGAGAAAGCAATCAATGAGTTTTTCAGAACAGAAGGAGCAGAGAAACTACAAAAAGCCTTTGAGATTGCTAAGCGTATCCCAATCATCACCTCAGCCAAAACGCTTGAGCTTGCCAAAGTAACCCAGTTCAAGACCATGGAATTTGCTCGCTACATTGAGGAACTTGCCCGAAGTGTTCCTCTGCCACCTCTCATCATGAACTGCAGGACTATAATGGAAGAAATCATGGAGGTGGTTGGCTTGGAAGAACAGGGACAGAACTTTGTACAGCAAGCAGCAGAAGGCCAGGAGTCTACTGATGGAGGGGATATGTTTATGATCCCTAATGCACTAAAGCGCAGCGACTCTCTCACAGCTGACTCTGAGGCATCATCACTGCATGAACAACCACAGCAGATTGCGATAAAAGTGTCAGTTCATCAGCTGTCCAAAAAGGACTGTATAGATGACCAGTCACAAGATTGTGTGCAATCAGAAATTAAGGAAGAAGAGATTCCTCAAACACCAGCATCTCCTACTGATCCAATTCCTGAGCCTTCTACTGAACCAAACTCCAATGATATAGCATTGGCAACTGACAAAAATACGTGTTTTATTTATGAAAGCCATGTATGATAATTACTCTGTTAATCTATGCATAGTAAGAAGAATCAGGTGGAGCTCCTTTAAAAATAGATATTGTACTTGCCGCTAAGCCTTACCTGGAGACTATCATAGAAAAAGCATGCATGTGGATTATTTGATATTTTCTTCTCTGAGTTAATTTTACTATGATGTATGACAGAGTAATTACTATTATATTAATACTAATTGCTCTTTTTGGTTTAGGATTTTTTTTTCAGAAACATTTACCTCAGCAATTTCTAGGTTGTTGTCATCTTCAGTGACCTCCTGGAAGTCATTTGTAGTGCTAAAGACACTTAGACTTACTAAACATAAAGCTGTTCTTCATTTTTCTCCTTCTGCTTCCTCCCTTCCATCTGCTGCATTTTTGTGAAACTGTTCCCAAGAATTTGAGACATTGCCCAGGAGGCAGGATTTCAGTTGCCAAATAAAATCCTAGTTAGATCCCATTTACCAAGCATCTTTGCCAAGCTGCATTGTGAATTAAAGAAGGTTAAATGTGTCTTTTTCATTTGAGAGCATTTTATTTATGTTTAGACAGTGGGGAAATAGGTTCCCCTACCCCTTAGGCTGAAGAAGCCAATAAGTGTTCTTTCACACAGATGATATACAGTGTATTTGTTTCTACAGAAGAGAAAGCACTTTATTTGTCAACAGGCTACAGTACAAATACTGAGTAGATTTTTTTCATATATTTAAACATCTGTTGATTTTACCAGAAGTTTATATTGAGAAGGACTGTGGATGTCCAGAATGTATTGTCTTGTTTTTCTTACATGGTAGAAGTAAATGGAACCAGATGATTTTATATAACCTGTCAGGAGTGTAGATTCAGTAAAAGTGTTGTAACCTCCAGTATTTTGTTGCAGGTGAGGCTGAAGTGGTAAAAGATCCTTGTTTATCAGGATTTCCTTTTTAGCAATATAGTTTCCTGATGAACAAACACAAGTGCATCCATAATCATAATCTTTTTAATCTGGCTATGAGTCAAAAAATTAGTCAAATACTTGCTATTAAGTCATAATGGTCGTCTCAGTGCATAAAAATGGACAGTGATCACAAACTATATTACGATTGTACAATTGATTTGCTATTTTAAAAAATCCTCATGAAATTGAGATCTTCTAGGGTGAGGGGGTTAACTGATCTTAGCAAATATTACTCCATCTTTATATAGCTATCATAATCATGGCAAGTGGGGCATATGTCTGTCATTGGAGATTTTCAAGAGCAGGTTAGACAAACACCTGTCCAGGATGGTCTAGATAAGACTTAGTCCTTCCTTAGTGCTGAGGACTGGACTAGTAGACCTCTTGAGGTCTCTTCCAGTCCTACGATTCTATAATATTAGGGTCATGGAGTTATGCTAGGATATTAATGAACTGCAAAGGTGGGGGAGGGAAGGGGGATAGTGTCTATTTCAGAAGTACTGTAATATTATGCACTACTGGATGAGCATGGAAAGAGATCACTTACAAGAGGGAATTTGTGCATGATGAACAGTAGGTTATTTAATCATCTGATACACATTTCACTTGGAACTGCTGAGCAGACCATGGTCTTTTCACTTTGGAGAAGGGCTACCATGCATTAGATCAAGTGTTAGAAATAACCTGGAGTCTCTTAATCCAGAGAGTGTTGTGGAGAGAGAATTCATTTAGACTGCTGAGAAACTGGTGAGCACAGGCCACCCAGACATTTCTCAACAGCTGTCACAGCTAGTACAACTTTGAGCAGTGCTGATGTTTGGCTTGGAGAAGATCAGATATGTTCATTGCATAAATAGTTGGGGGCAAACAAGATCACTGAAACTGCAGCCATCAGAAATGGATAACAATGGTGGTGGTGCCCTGAATGGAGTGTGGAGTTTCCTCAGGACCCAGTTCAGTTACAAATCGACTGAGATACACTGAGCTAGCTAAGATATGCACCCACCCCCACCTGGAAAATGTCCCTTTCCTTACGTTTCTACGGCCAATGAGTATGAAACAAAAAAAGAGAGGCCCAATTGCACTAATTTTTTTTAGGGTGCAATCATCTGTATGTGTAAGTTATAGCCATTTAGATGCCTAGCTACTTGATTGCACCCAGTAGTCAGGAAATTTGACATCTAAATGTGCACTTTCACAAACAGAAATATGCCGGGGTAAGGCCTCTTTAAAATTTGGCCCCAAATGTATAAGTAGTTGCAGTTACGTGAAACAAATCTAGACCACACTGTGCAGAAGAGGAGACAGGAGCGTGTTAGAAAGATGTTTATCATGACCTGTGAGAGTGAAAGTGCTCACCAACTGAAACACACTGTAAGCTGTTCAGTCTGAAGTACATTTTTGTTTTATGTTCTTATCCCTTTTGCTTTAAATCACTTATTTGCTCTTGGTTAACAAAAAGGAGATTTTACATAAAGTAAGGCTGGAAGTGTGCACTGAGTTCTTTTAATTTGTCTTAATTATTTATACTAAAGAGACATATTGATATTCCTAATTGTTTAATGTTTAGCAAAAAATGGTTTCATACTATAAAGTGACTTGCCTGTTGCTCAGTGAAAGTAATTTTCTCATGAAGAGCCACACTGTTCTTCAAAGCAGAATGCTATATATTTAGGAAGAGATTACTCCTCGAGTTTGTGAGCAACTCTGGACTGCAAGTATGTCATCTCTTGAGTTCATACGGGCCCCACAAAGCGTCTTAGGTTCCTAAGCCCCCAGTTTTAAGCACGACTGCCATCTACAAAATCCCCTCTCAGCTGCCACCTAACCCTGGAGGCAAAGAGATTAAAAAAAAATCAATATTTTGAAACCAAAAAAATCAAACTTATTTAAATTAGATATTTTGTATTTAAATTAAATGCTGATTTTTTTTTAAACTAAACCTATTTAAAAATAAATTTGAAAGTGACAACCTATGTTGAGGGCTAAAATTAGTATAAGCTATTAAAACCATTTAAACATAAAAATATTAAGCATTACATGTTTGCTGCCAAGTTTTCAAGAAAAGCATAGCCAGTAACTTTCACCAGTTTGTGAGTAAAAGCCCCTGCAACCAGAGTTTGTTGAAATACTAAACCAGCTTCTGACAGCAGTAGCCTCTTCGGCAGTTGCAGAGAGAATATTTTCCTCATTTCAGTTTATTCAGCTAGTTAAATTCAATGACTAGTTCATTCAAAGTTAAGAAACCAATTGGGAGTTGAAAAAGCTGGAAGGCTTGTTTACCCTCTCCGACTAGAAGAATAAAAACTAGGTGTGAGAGAATGAGATCTACTAGTTCTAAAATTTCAAAGGGCATGGTGACTAGAAACAATCAGTTCAGTTCATTAACTACAGATCATATTTCCTTTATTTAATAAATCAGTTTTAAATGCAAAACATGTTTTGATAAACTTTTTTCTTGTATATTCAGCACTCTTAAGGTAGTTTTATTTAATAAAAAAGTTAAAATGCTGTTTTAGTGCATTTTTAGTTAAATTTCAATTTCCATCCAAAGAGAGCTTGATACACATCACAAGTAAAAAAAAAATTAATCTGGTAAATAAGAGATGCATCTTTCACCATTTTCTAACATGATAAAATATTTAAAAATTAAAAATCTGAATAAATGTAAACTAAACTATATACTTGTTTAAATAAATATGTATAGATATATTACATCCTACTGGTTAGTAAAAAGCAGCAAAGATTATATTTAGTTACAAATAACGTGTTTTAATAGTACTAACTAACAAGAATCACCCCTTTCTTTAGGAAAAGAATTAAAAAGTACAAATGCAAAACACGATTTACATTAATTATTTAAATCAAGGTTTTCTGCTTGGTGATTTAAACCATGATTAAAATTGGTGCTATAAATCACTTTGATTTAAATCAATCCACCTTGCCCGTAGACACCTAAAGTCCTAATGTAAAAGTTCCTTAAGAGCCTGAGGGCTTGTGTATACTGCATGGTAAATCGGCACTCCTGTGATCAATGCAGCGGCATCAATTTAGTGGGTCTGGTGAAGATGCGATGAGTTGCTGGCAGAGCGCTCTCCTGTTGACTTCAATACTCTACCCTCCCCGAGAAGCGCAATGTAACTTACATTGACTTCAGCAGCAGTGTAGACCAGGCCTAAATTTCTGCCTCTGGCATGTGCACTGCTGCTCTGGCAGGCATCCAGACACCCATCTCACTCCTAAGCCCCAGTGCAATCCTCAAACCAGGTGGCGATGGGCAGAGCAATGCTTATTCCATTTCAATTCCCCCCTGTGTCTGATGAGGAGGGGGGGGTTGAACAGGGGCTTCCCATCTCAGTGGACTATGGGATATTCCAATGTGAGTCTCAATCTCTTGTTGAAGCTGTTCCACTTTGTATTAAATATTAATTAGGCCACCGGGGGAGGAAATGACTCTGTAGCCCAGTTATCAGGGCATTCATGACAGAGGTAGGAGACCCCTATTCAAATTCCTTTTCCTTCTCAGAGAGCAGTGGGAATTGACCCTGGTCTCCCACATCTTACCCTAACCACTGCTGGCCTAACGGTTATGGTGGAGGCCACCTCTTCCTCTCCCCCCCCCCCCCCGTTGTTTTGTTTGGAGCTAAGCACACATTCTTGAAAGAAACAGTTTAGGCACCTAAGCCACCTTCCTCTAAGAGAGGTTCCCAGTTGTGGATTGTTAGCTGAGATAGGCGCCTCTCTCCAGTCCAGGCTTAAGCTACTGCTACATCCAACTCATGAAGTTCAACATTTAAGACACCCATTAGAGGGGTGTATCTCCCATTGGCTATCTTAGGCAGCTCACACCTAGCATGCTGGCTTTTGTGGATCCCATTCTCAAGCACCTATATCCCCCATGCATTATATAGGGAGCCAAGGCCCTGACTCCTGCTTTGTGGATTCCAGTGATTTTTTAGGCACCTTAATGTTAGGCATTGTGATACCTAAGTCCCTTGAGGATCCATGCCACAGTGTCTAGCACAGTGGAGCTCTGATCCTGATTAAGGCCCCTATTCTCTCCTGCAATCTGTTCAATAATAATTATTACTAAATTATAATAGTATGAGGCCAAATAACCCCATGGTTTCCAGCAAAATTTCAAAATAAAATCTATACTTCAAGGAAATTTATATTTTTTTCAAAGGGCTGGACCATGCAAAGTGAATAATGAAGCACAGCCTTTAAAGTGCACAGTGAACCAATTCTTATCTAAATTGCTTGGATCTGATGCTAAGACAGGCATAATAAGTGAATTTCTGGCCCATTTACATCAATAGGAGTTTTGACATTGGAGCTAGGATTTCACCTAATTAAACCTTAAAGTTCCGAGATGATGCTGGTTCAATCAATGTAATCTGAAGGCTCTCTTTACCTATGCATAAAAATGTTTAAAAGGTAAATATAACTTTTTGGGGCATTTAATAGTTTGGTCATAGTTAATGCGTTACTTGGTTGAATGAAAAAATAGTTTTATGTGGGAAAAAATGTAGGTTTGTAATAGTTCTGTTTTAAATATTTTCTCTCTATTTTCATATAGGTGGAGTAATCTTCAGTATCTTTTTGGATCTATTGCATTATACCTATAAGCATAAATGTTTAGTAAATGCTTTTAAGCACTCATTTTGCAGTAGTGATGTGCCAAACAAGGTCTGAAGATCTCATTCTACCTCTTCCTCCTGTTTAATCATAATCTATCTCAAATAAACTGTGTTTCATAATATGATGAAAGAATAACATTTGGGAATAGCTAGTATAAATGTTTTGATGGAACCATAATTATATTTCTAGTATTTACATAACTTTAATTTATATCCAGGATAGGTTTCATCACACACCTTAGGCACTTAAGGGGAATAGGAGTGATACATTACCTCTAATTTGGCCTAGGCACACCTTTTTACACTATTATTATTTGTTAAGCATCCGTGTGTTTAGTACCATACAACACTCAAAATGCGGAAAGTCCCTGTTCAGACAAAATTATGTTCTAAACATATCATGCAGAGTAATCCAATTTTAGAATGAAATAAGGGGATCTTGTGTTCTTAATGCAGCTACACCCTTCATGGTCATCCCTATGTGTCAAGAACTGAAAGTATTGTAACATATAATCAGGGTTTCCTGACCAGCTTTGCAAAAGTAAGTTACCTACATACTGATTTAGAATAACTCGTTTTTAAAAAAAGCAGTAATACCCAGTGGTGAATTCAGAGAGAGTTGGAAGTTGTTACCAAGAATATACTGGCAAATCACTATTTAAAGTGTTGGTCTCCTTGGTATCGATCATACTTTGTGGGACTGCTGAAACTTTCATAGATGCAAAGAAAATGCTTGCTCTAAATTACAAGTTATATTTCAGTAATTCTGGAAGTTTTCTTTAATGTTACAACAAATGTAAAAGACCTATGAATGTGTTCTGCTGATCAGAAGCATAGTTACTGTATTTTGCTTTTAAGAACTGTCAATTCTAAGATTTTTCGCAGTCGTAAATCACAAAGAGAAACCAGTTCATGCTAAAGTGGCAAAAAAATGTGATCTAGCTTGTAAATTGATCATTGTTTCAATAAAGAATTTTCACAGAGTATATTGAGTGTGTTTCCTGATTTGAAATTAGCAGTGATTACTCAGAAAAATTATGGTACTGTTACAAAACAGCAGTATCTGAAGTTTGAAGTGACGCTGTTATGGGGTGAATCCCCATCATAGGCAAGAAAGAGTTCAAGACCTATTAGGCACATTCACTCCACCCGGCCTGAGCCACAATTTGATAGTTTCTTCTCAGCCAAAGAGGCAAGACTAAAGAAGGATCAGGTGATAGCAGAAACCTGGACCTTACAAATTGGCCAAAAGAGTTCAGTCTGGGGGAGAAGTGCTGAGCTGGACTAGACTTGACTTGACTCCTGTGCAGGTCCATAGCTTCAGAAGCTGTCGGAGTCTAGAAACTTCAGAAAGACTTAGGTTGGGTCGGAAAAAGTGTTTGATACCAGAGCTGGGCACATCAGTGGAACCCCAAGAAAGGGTTAAGCCCAGGACTCAGAAGATAGGCCGATTCTTTGGGACTTTGGACTATACAGTACTTGGATATTTTGTTATCCTGGAAGGGGTTGGTGCTAGTTGCTTCTCAGATGGAGAGCTGAGTGGTGAGTAGAGACAGAAGGCCAGCTCGAGATGAAAACCCCTACAACATTGCACCCTACCACAAGGGGCAATCTTGAGGTGCGGACTTACCATTACAGACCTGTAAAAGTGGCAGAGTCCTGTGGCACCTTATAGACTAACAGATGTATTGGAGCATAAAGCTTTTGTGGGTGAATACCCACTTCATCGGATGCATGTAGTGGAAATTTCCAGAGGCAGGTATAAATATGCAAGCAAGAGTCAGGCTAGGGATAACGAGGTTAGTTCAATCAGGGAGGATGAGGCCCTCTTCTAGCTGTTGAGGTGTGAACACCAAGGGAGGAGAAACTGCTTTTGTAGTTGGCTAACCATTCACAGTCTTTGTTTAATCCTGAGCTGATTGTATCAAATTTGCAAATGAACTGAAGCTCAGCAATTTCTCTTTGAAGTCTGGATCTGAAGTTCTTTTGCTGCAGGATGACTACCTTTAAACCCTGCTATTGTAGTTTTGAGAAGGCTTGGTGAAGATCTTGTAGGTGTCGGTCTCTGTCTGAGAGGTCGGAGCAAATGCGGTTGTACCTCCGAGCTTGGCTGTAGACAATGGATCATGTGGTGTGTCCAGGATGGAAGCTGGAGGCACGAAGGTAGGCATAGCGGTTGGTGGGTTTTTGGTTTAGGGTGGTGTTAACGTGACCGTCACTTATTTACACCGTGGTGTCTAGGAAGTGGACATCCCGTGTAGATTGGTCCAGGCTGAGGCTGATGGTGGGTTGGAAGCTATTGAAATCGTGGTGGAATTCTTCCAGAGTTTCCTTCCCATGGGTCCTCAGACAGAGACCAACACCTACAAGATCTTCACCAAGCCTTCCCACAACTACAATACTCACATGAGGAAATAAGGAAACAGATCAACAGAGCCAGACATGGACCCAGAAGCCTCCTGCTGCAAGACAAGCCCAAGAAAGAAACCAACAGAACTCCACTGGCCATCCCATACAGTCCTCAGCTAAAACCTCGCCAATGCATCATCAGTGATCTACAACCATCCTGGACAACAATCCCTCACTTTCACAGGCCTTGGGAGGCAGGCCAGTCCTCGCCCACAGACAACCCGCCAACCTGAAGCATATTCTCACCAGCAACTACACACCACACCATGATGCCAACTCTGCCCACATATCTACACCAGCAACACCATCACAGGACCTAACCAGATCAGCCACACCATCACCGGTTCATTCACCTGCACGTCCACCAATGTAATCTACGCCATCATGTGCCAGCAATGCCCCTCTGCTATGTACATAGGCCAAACTGGACAGTCCCTACATAAAAGGATAAATTGACACAAATCAGATATTAGGAATGGCAATATACAAAAACCTGTAGGACAACACTTCAACCTCGCTGGACACACAATAGCAGGGTTTAAAGGTAGCCATCCTGCAGCAAAAAAACTTCAGGTCCAGACTTCAAAGAGAAACTGCTGAACTTTAGTTCATTTGCAAATTTGACACCATCAGCTCAGGATAAAACAAAGACTGTGAATGACTAGCCAACTACAAAAGCAGTTTCTCCTCCCTTGATATTCACACCTCAAGAGGGCTTCATCCTCCCTGATTGAACTAACCTCGTTATCCCTAGCCTGATTCTTGCTTGCATATTTATACCTGCCTCTGGAAATTTCCACTACCTGCATCCGACGAAGGGGGTATTCACCCACAAAGCTTATGCTCCAATACGTCTGTTAGTCCATAAGGTGCCACAAGACTCTTTGCTGCTTTTACAGATCCAGACTAACACGGCTACCTTTCTGATGCATTACAGACCTGTATCTTTAACAGTACACCTGCTAACACTCAAGAAACGTCTGAAACCCATAAACTGGGATAGTAGGTATTGTAGACCAGCTGTTCATCTGAAGAGAAGAAAAAGTTGGTTTTTCCTTAATAAAACTTCAGGGTGCAATTTGCAAAAGCACCCAGTACTGGCCTAACTGCACCTCCTACTGAAGCCAACAGTTAAACTCTAATTGATGTCAGCATAAGCAGAGTTGAGCCAATGCTGAGTGTTTTTTAAAAACTATCTTCAAGTAGTGCCTTGATGAGATCTGTGCCACTGAAATATTTGTAAGGCTTGTATTAACCAAAGAGGAAGCACATCATTTTTTTACAGCCTGCATGACACAAAATAGCTATGAGCAAGATTTGCAAAATAATTTGTAAATTACCTTATTAGGCAGTGTCACTCTGTTTGTAGTGGCACATGACCATGAGTGCCTACCTCAGACCAGACTCTAACACAGGGCAGACACCACCAACTGGCAGTGTATTCTGTAATTAGGTTTCACCAGTAATAAATGTGAACTCCTGGATCACTATAACAGTCTTCCCATGAAGTCACAGAAAGTCCCCATAGACTCTCCAGTGTATCACATGGACAAACTAGACTTAGTGATAAATGGTTGCTTATACCAAAAATCACACCACATTCAAGTTGCTTCCAGACTCAAGAAACCAGTTACTTACCCCAGATCAATTGGTACCATAGATGTTAAACCAAAAGCAATGACTATAGCCAACCCTATAATAAACTATCTAAAGGCTTATTAACTTGGGAAAAGAAACTAGACTTATTTACAGGTTTAAGCAAGCAAACATACACACGTCTAAATCCCAAGAGTGATAGAGTTGTAGTGATCAGTCAATTCAAAGTGTCTTTCAGAGCAGACCCTGGAGGAAGCCCCTTGGAATCTCTTGCGTTAGCCTAGGCAGAGTTCCAACAATGAAGAGATGGAAAATTTTCCTGTGACTTTGTTTTATTTCCTTCATTCAGCTTCCAGGTCCACAGGACTAGCTTCCTTGCATGTAGCACTTCTAAGGTGCAATAGGGCAATTCAACATCCTTTGTATTGCAAAGTTTCTTCTCAGCCCACCTAATTTTGATAGTCCTTCTGGATGAGCGGCGGGAGGAGGGAATTCCCGTGCCTGGGTTCACAAGTTCAGAGCAAACATTTTCAAAGTTATAAACCAAACGTACATATTTTCTTTTAGCACGGAATACAAGTGAGATTAACGCATGTAGCCACTTACAAGCATTTCGTAGAGTATAAACACTAAATACATTCTTATATGCCTATTACCTATTTTGAGCAAAACTAACATACAGGTGAACTGGTCTGGTCTCCAACTATGAGTTTGTTAGTTCTTAGCTAATGCCTGCATTCTTGGCAAGAGCTGGCACCTGCTTTGCCAGCATCACAGGCTGATTCCCCAAATGGAAGGGAGTGGTACATTCTCTCAATAAGGCCTTCTGTTGTCTGCATGTGAAGTAGAAGCATACATCAGTGTAGCTAACTTTCTGAACATTTATCTTTACTTGATATTTGCACTGTTGCTTATGGGCCTGATTTTTCCAAGCTGACCTTTCTTCATGAGTAGTGCTCTTGAAGTTGGGGCTCCATGATTATGGATATACCCATAAATAACTAACTACATAACAAATCAAAATGTGAAAATCCTGTTTTAAATTCCCAGTTGCATTGTAGTACATACTAATTGAATTACAGTAAATAGGCTGAGACACTATTCCCAATATCCATACCTTTAAACATAATTGCCTTGCCCTTTCCACTGAATTTATAAAGTTTGGGGTATACTTTGATGAAAAGCAAGTAAGTATTGCTGGTTGAAACAGGCAAAATGTACAAAAATTTTGTGATACGTTAATTCCTGGGCAATGGAATGTGTTGTAGATATTCAAAACTTTGACTAGCAATAGTCCAACTCTAAAGTTAAGCATTCTAGGGGGTTTTATTTCATTTCTTCACTGAGCGTTTGACAGCACTTTGTGTACAGTCAGATTCACTCCCTGTCTCAGCTTTTGTTTACCATGGAGCTCTCCTGTGCATGCTATCCCCAAGGTTCTGCAAGAAAGCTGATGCTGTTTCCATGGAAGGCTTCCTTTCCCTAAGACCCCTGTAGACAGCCAGGAAGAAACAGAAGCTGGAGGACAGACAGTAATACCCTTTTTCTTCATTCCTCAGATGCATGCCTAGGCTAGGAAATAAGAAAGGACTGCTTCACTCCATAACATTCCTCTGCAGGACTCAAAAAGGAGTTTAGAAGATAGAGCTAACCCTAAAGCTGCTATTGAAGAGGCAGTGTTCCCAGGGGGAAGTGGCAGAACCAAATATATAAGGTGGTGCTGCTCTTGAGCTTCCCCATTCTCCCTCATTGATAATGATGCAAAACAAACAGCTAAAGACACAAAAACTAACAGTAAGAATTTTGTTAAAGACATTAGACGCAGGAAGCCTGCCAAACAGGCAGTAGAGCCACTAGATGACCAAAGTGTTAAAGGAGTGCTCAAGGAAGATAAGGCCATCCCAGAGAAGCTAAGTGAATTCTTTGAATCAATCTTCTCTGCAGATGATGTAAAGGAGATACCCACATCAGAACTATCCTT